GAATGTGAGGCTATAGGTCTAATAATATTCTAATACTATTATTTAATATTATTATAATATTATATATTTGTTAAATATTCAATGTATAAATATAATATATAATACATATAATTGTAGTTTTTATTTAAAATGTATCGCAATACCAACTGTTTTATTATATAAATAAAGTTGAAGAAATTTACACAAATATTGAAGAGTACGTACGAGTTTCTCACGCTTCAATGTGCGTATACTTCTTGAACTAATGCAATCGGTCCAGACAAAAAGAACAGACCACGTATAGACAACGTGGCGACGTTCTTGCGCATGCGCGTGTACAGTGAGGCGCAGAACTCTGTCATACCCGCTTTCACTTCAACGTCGGCCATCATCACGCGAGGATTACGAGTTGTGGATTCTTCCAACAAGCAAGATGGCGGATCAGGTACATGTGGGCGTTGAAATCTACAGTAAACAGATTTATTCACGTACGGCGGAACTATTTTGCAAAAATATCCCTCTTGCAACAATTCGTATTACAAATAAATACGAACCAAAATCGGAATCACACAAATTAAAGTGTGCCCGAAAGATCGAGAGGTTGAGAGCGCAGCACGTGCTTAGACCTGCATACTGGAATTCTTAACTACAAACATCCAACACTTGTAGAGGAAATCCATGCTATATCCGTATGATTACGTTTGCAGAGCGAGCGCGCCTTCCAGAAGCAACCGACCATTTTCCTAAATCGTAAGAAAGGTTTAGGCCCAAAGCGCAGGAAGCCGATGCGATACAGCCGCAACGTGGGCCTCGGCTTCAAAACTCCACGCGAAGTAATTATAGCGGGGTTTACAGTGAGAATTTAAGGCGTAAGACTTAATAACTTGACCAATCACAGTCTAATTATAAAAGAAAAATCAATTGTGATTGGTCAATTTCTCATTCAAATATCGATCTGTTCTTTTATATTCATATATAATAATAATTATGACGGTCTACTGACAAAGATACTTTTGTGAAGATAATATCGTGTTACTGAATAAAGAACAATAATGATACGATAATTCATAATCATTATTCATGTTACTATCATTGTTAACAAAAGGCATGTAAATAGAAATGACAATAGGCTGATCATACAGACATAATGAGTTACATGAGATTTTATTCTGCGCAGGCTCTGGAGGGAACCTATATTGATAAGAAATGTCCGTTTACTGGTAACGTATCAATCAGAGGACGCATTCTCACTGGTGTGGTTCAAAAAATGAAGATGCAGCGCACAATAGTCATACGCCGAGACTATCTGCACTACATCAGGAAGTACAACAGATTTGAGAAACGCCACAGGAATATGAGTGTCCATCTCAGTCCATGCTTCAGGTATGTAGGCAAAATAATCATTTTTAATCATTTTAACATAATTTAAACATTCTAGTCTTTTGTTCATATATGATGATAACACACGACGGTCTACTGATAAAGGTATTTCACGTGAAGATCAAATCGTGTTACTGAATAAAGAGAGAGTGTAACAATTATGCTACAAAGAATGATTAGTAATTGTTATTAATTTTCAAAATTATCAAAATTATCAAATTTCAGAGACGTGGAAATTGGTGATGTAGTCACCATTGGGGAATGCAGACCCTTGAGCAAGACTGTGCGTTTCAACGTACTGAAGGTCTCGAAAGGGACTGGTTCGAGGAAAAGTTTTAAGAAATTCTAGACATGTATTTCTGATGCTTTCTAGTATTTCAAATAAATTATTTTTTTCCAAAATATTACCGTGTCATTATTTCAATGGTCAAGTGTTCTGAAAATTATGTAAAGTTGCATACTATAATTTA